TGGAGATCTGTCTGTTCAGTTGCCTGTATGCTGTCAAATCTGTTGAAGAATGTAGCTTCATCTCACGTCTAACAGCCATGCGATTAAGAGTGTCATCGGAGAGTTTTGTGTTCTTCTGCGGCGGGTCTTGCAGAACTTAGCTCCGACTGCATGGACAGTTTCCACGAGCTTGTCATTCATACCGTCCACTTCATTGCAGTCTTCTAGGCACTGAAAACGGTTTTGTAACTCGAGCTGAAAGGTTTCGGGACTTTGGATTAGAGCACGAGGGGGACGGAGCGTTGACTTCATTAGACGAGACCTCTCCAACTTAACGTTTAGGTTCAGTGTGCCTCTAACCATTCGGTGATCGCTGCCGGTTTTCACCCTCGCGATCACTGAGACATCACTGAACAGTTGTCGTCTAGTCGTCATAATGAAGTCAATCTCATTTTTTGTCGAACCGTCGGGGCTCGATCAGGTCAACATCCTGTGGGGTCGCTTCTGGAAGAAAGAGTTCATCATAAAGAGTCCCTCTTTCTCCATGAAGTCGGCCAGCTGCTGGTCCCTTGGGTTCCGTTGCCCTATGCCAAATTTCCCTACTTTCAGCTCACCATTCTCTCTTGTGCCTAGTTTTGCATTGAAGACTCCCATTAACACCGTATATTGGGTTTTGGAGGAATGCATGGCTCTAGAGATATCCTCATACATTTCCTCCGCCTCCTCATCGGGGTGTGCCGAGGTTGGTGCGTAAACCTGTATGACCTTCAGCGAATACCGTTTGGTGATTCTGAGTATGAGGTACGCAACCCTCGTCGACACACTCTCAATCTTTACAACGTTGTTAACGAGAGATTTGTGGACGATAAATCCGACACCTCCTTGGGACAGATGGTCGCCCTCCCGGTAATAGAGCACGTTGCCGGATTCAAGGATTACCGTTTCCTCCCCCTCTCTTCGGACTTCGGATAATCCTATAATATGCCAGCGTAACTTGTCTATATCTTCTTCTTCCTGTCCACAATCTTCTCGTCAGTCCTCAGGGTGCGTGCGTTATATGTTGCCAGGTCGAGTCGTCGTAGGTGACAACCGAACCTCCACCGGAGATTCTTAGCACCCCCTGCCCCGCCGTTACCATGGTCGCCACCGTAGCCAGGAATAGCGGGGCCGCCGGGGACTGGGGGCCGTCTCTTAGTAACTTTATCCATTTGGGGGGTATTTGCCATAGTTGCCACGCTTGGCGAGCGGGTTGGCAATCGCAGTTTTTTTATTGTATTTTTGCTGTTATCAGGAAGATGCTGCTGCCCATCTCCTGCCTGTTTCCCTTTTTCGCCTTTTACGACACCCACGGGAGGATATGGGGTAGTGGATATTCTTAACCGCCACTACACGGCAAATGCAGAAGAGCATGCAATGCCGCAGTATATTTTCAATACCTACCGCAATATTGCGGTATCTTGAGCTTGAGGAACTTGTAATATCGCAAAATTTGCGGAACTTTGAAGTAGTAGGGGTTAAGACTACGCCATTAACCTTTAGGCAACGTTTGCTTCGAATTGATGTATTCTTATTGGCTAAATGCCTTTTAGCCAATGCCAGAATAAATAAATAAAACTAATGACACTATGTAGGATGTCACTATCAATTCTTAATTTGGAGTTTTGGCGGGAACTTGATCGGCGGCGGCTTGCTTTTTTTTTATAGGATAAAGGTGGCTACTGACCTGCCTGCCGCAGGGGCAATCTAGGGTGTAGGAGTGGGGATGACCCTTAATTGCCTCCTTAATTGTGATGTGTGTAGGCAAGCAGGGGCAATTTTTTAAGTCGGCCCTGCGGCAGGGCGGCAGGAGCGCAGTGTTGCAAAAGTTCCCGATTTATCGGGAGATATACTGATTTTATTTAGTATCTCCCGATATCCCGATTTAGCGAACGTATCTCCCGATTTTTTTACATTTTCAACTAATGTAAAATAATAATCATAAATAAAATTGAAAAGTAATAATCAAAATACTAAAATGAACTTTTAACACAAAATCTATGTACGGGGACTTCCCGAAATTGCTCGCATCACGTCCTATGGGACCTATACCTATAACCTTATTAGGTTTTTAAATTCGCGGTATGGTTAAAGCATATTGCACTGATACATCTTAAAATAGAGTTCATTATTGTCTGGTAAGTGTACGGGGGAGATCCCTAAAGATTACTTTGTTCGGGTTGTTTTACGAATTAGGTAGCTTAGGCCATGTATATATAGTGTTGTTCGTTCATAGAATTACATTCACTAATTACTAGCCTTCTTCTGTTTTGTTGAGAACTGTTGTGCTTTATGTCCAAATTTGTTAGGTAGCATTAGTTATCAGCAAATTAATTTAGAATGGCGTTTGCTTCTAAATACGAAAGAAATTAAATCACTCAGTGAAGAAACAGATGAATTTTGGAGAAGCGTGAGTAGCAAAAATACATAATCATAAAATTTTAGTTTAGATTATAAAGACATTATTTTGATCGCAAAAAAAAAATGAAACGAAAAAGAACGACATCTAAAAGAATGTTTTATGATACATTTCTAAACCCATGGATGTAAATAAAAATCTCCCGATTTCTCCAGATTTTTAGCTGACAAATCTACCGATTTTTTATTTTTCACTTTTGCAACACTGCAGGAGCGCAAGACCGTCCTTGCTCCCTAGATCGGCCCTGCCGTTGTTGCGTGTGTAGCACAATTGGGCCAACTTCGTTCAGTTCGTTGCGACTTTCGCGAGGAGCACACGTATAAGTACAAGTCAGAACCGCAGAAAGAACGTTATTTGAACGTTGTAACTTACAAGTAACATTACTGGGATTTGTTACCTAACTTATCATACGGGCTAGTATGGGAAAGTAAATATTCCAATAATATAAAAATTGCTGGAATATAAATAAAATGTTATTAAATAAATATTTAAACAAAAATACAAATTAAAGTAAATAAATTTTATTAAAACCATCATTAGAAAACTATCCTGGCTATTTGTAACACTAGTTAAATTATAGTTACTAAGCACTAGATAGTTAATTTATATCACAGAACAAATTGGTATATAACCAATTTGTTCTGTGATATAACTTAACTTTATTTTACTTAATTACTTAAATTATGACGAGTAAAGTTAGTCATATTTAACATTCTTTGATAGCCTAAAAATAGCGTGGCTGAGCTATGCTGCAGCTTCTAAGCACTATATTAAGGTTGTAATTATTAATTAATTGATTGTTTTATTGATAAATGTGTGTGTCTATAGGCCGCAGTGTCCACTTACCATCAGGTGGACTGTGCTCATTTGTCACCCTTATTCTATATAAAAAAGAGCCAAGGCTATATATACTGATTCATTGATATTTCGATAAAACTGGCGCCATTTTCAACGCGTGCGTCCAGCGAGACGTACACTCTCATACTGAACGGCGTGTGTGTAGAGACAGCTCCGATATTGCTCCGATCGTGGTGCTTCCTAGGTTGCCCCTGCGGCAGGCAGGTCAGTAGCCACCTTTAGGGTGACAAACGAGCACACAGTCCACCTGATGGTAAGTGGTAGCTGCGGCCCATAGACATCTTACATCTATCCTCGTTTGCGAATCAAAATGCAGATGCGTTGCCACCCGTGAGGACTAAGATGGAATGCCTCATTTCCGGTAAAAAGGGCCTCCGGCCACCTGCACTCACCAAGCGAAACGCAGAGGTAAACCTCTACTTCACGCTGGTATTCTGTGAGGTCGTGGTACCACCCCGGTTTGAGCCGGCCCATCCGTGCGACAGCAAAAGCTGCCGCGTGGCTCTACCACTGTTACACAGTTGTTGCTGCTCCTGAATTATTGTTTAAATAATGGTTTGAAGTGGACTTTGATATAAAAGTGGTGCGATTTTGTGTATTAAGTGTCTGCGCATGTGAACTATTGCTCTAATGATGAAGGATTCTCAAGATAAGCTGTTTGTTTGCATATGCGCCTTTAGATACCATCGCCAACTGTCAGCTGCCTGCTGGCTCAAGTTGCCGTCAAAATCTCCCAAGGGCTGCACAATGTGACGCATCAACATATTGTGAAGCAGTGAATTATGAAGGATAATTACACATGAAGACAAGGCTGTATGGTATAGTTCCTTTACCTGTTCTCTCGAGCGAATAATAAAAACAACAACAACAATTCTTAATTTGATGTCTACGTGTAGGGATGTAACTTCGCTAAAAAATCCATATTGGAATATCGAAATTTTCAAAAGAGAAACATCGATTTTAAAACATCTAAGTTAATGAACGATATATCGAGATTTTTGATGTTTTTTATCACCTTTTAAATACATAATATTATATCGAATAAATAATCATTTTGAACAGAAATGAAACAAATAAGTATAATACTTAAACATTATATTTATGTTATATCAAGAAGTTTTACACTATTTTATTTTTACACATTTATTTTTACCGATTAATTTTTTATTTGAAATAGAAAATAAGTATTAATTAAACATTGTTTACTTTTACGTTTATTTCTTAAACAATAAATTTAAAAATAACAATTTTGGCAAACTGGTGCCCAGTAAATGGTTTCTATCCTGGGTGATTGTAGCTCCAGCCTCTGAGAGTATCCGTTATATAACTGCGACATTATTTTTGAATATTTATTTTTTGGTGCCATAGAATTCGTGTTAATCATCGTTCGCAACTTTTAACATACGGAATTTTATACTTTCGAATATTTTTACTGCGAAAGCATCGTTCATGAAGAACGATTTGTTATCGATATTTTTGGTTTCAACATGTTGGTTCAACATGTTGAAACATCAATGCTTATGAACGATATATTGATGTTTGAAAAAATCGATGTGTTGTTTGCATCCCTATCAACGTGTTGTCAATTTCAAATTCCAATGTCAATTGTCAACTCAAAAATGATAATGAAAATAAGAAATGATTATGTATTAAACTTTTTTCTTTAATTTAAGTGTTGTATAAAATAAATGATCAATCAATAAATATAATGTCGTTTCTTAAGGGTTGGCGTTATACTGCATTTATTGGTGGATTTGTTGGTTTACTGGGACTTACATTATATCCCATAGCAGTAAGCCCAATGTTGGATCCCTCTGAATATAGTATGTTCTTTTCAACTTTAAATAAATCGAAATGAACACATACGTACTAACAATCGTAAATACGTGTAATAATCGTAAATCGTAACTGTTATCATGTTTTACAGAAAAAATCCAAAAGGAGAGTAGAAAAAATATCAGACAAGAAGACATACAACCAGGCAGTAAGTAACATTTTTCTTATTATGACCTTTATAAATTATATATTGCCGAATTAAAAAAAAATCACTTGTTACAGATATGAAGATTTGGTCGGATCCCTTCGGTCGTAAGAAAGCTGATAGTGAATGAAGATAATTAATGTGGGTTTTCAAGTGATGATACCATACTATGTATATGTATATAATAGGTACTCTTTAGTTGTTAAAAGTTATAAACATTTTTAATTTAAATATATTGCATAGTGTTTTGATTAAATAACAGAAATTTAATTGAATGCCTTTGGTTCATTCATTATCAGTCTATTATTATAAGCTGCTGATTACATGTCTCCCCAAAGACTGCTTACTACGAAACGGAGTCCTGGACTTTCCTGCATATTTTATAATGATGCACCATCAAGTCATGGTTGCCCTACACTGTTTGCCAGAAGTCAGATATTGAGAATACCGCTTTAGGTCCTTTCTTCCCATCATACTAGATGGTAAGATTCCTCAGAGTTCATCTGGGTATTCACCAGTCCTGTTTAAAAGTATAGACTGTGAGGTATTCCATCATATCCCTAGGTTGAAATTTAGAATCGTTTGGCAGGAGGAGGGGGCAGGGGATGAGGGGAGGGGAATGGAGGGAGCGTCCCCTTACTCCCGACACCACTCCCATTACATTACACACACAAAGTATTACACCGTTCTTGAGAAAAATCAAAAACAAAATCCCTTAGACCTAACCTGAAAGTAACATTTATCGTCTCCGGCAGGAGGGGGGAAGAGGGTAGCAGGAGTGTGCCCTATCAGGGAAAGCCCCTCTACCTTTCCCTCGCTGCGGAGAAGTATAGTTTATGAGTAATGTTTTTTTTGTAAAATCATAACCTCACTTTTTTACACAGGAATATTGACCCAAAGTTGCTTCTACAACGGCTTCGGCGCTGCGGGAAGTACAGCCCCTTCGCCCTTGCGTAGCGAATCACAGGCACCCATGCCTACGATTAACTATGGCGGGCGGGGGCTGCTCTCCCTCCGCGCCTACGGCTTTACAAAAACACTCTAGGATTAGGGCAGACAAGACTACGTGGAGTCTGGGCGTGCTGGTTTAATTTTAGTACGGATTCGATCAGATCAGATATCTATAAAGTCAGGTTGCCTTCGCTCCCACCACAACCTTGTAACCTATTACAACTGAAATTATTTCTGGGTGTTCAAGTATTTCTGGGCAGTTTTAAACAATTCAGAAATAAAACAGTATATTATAATAATTTCTTAATTGTCTGTAAACATAGTTTTTTTTATTAATTTCACTAGTCTTACGTCCTTGTCGCACTTACTGAAAATTCTAAAATGCTATCCAGCTTTCACAGTAATTTTTCCATGTTTTACGCATTTTAGGTTATAATAGTTTTTATTTATTTTTTCGATAACGGTGCATTACCTTTTAATGTGGGTGGTATTATTATTATCAGGGACCAAATCTCTACCAAATAAAACCTTACTCCGCCAAATTCGTGGCAAACGATTCTAAATCCAACCCAAGTTATTTTTAAAAATTGGAAGTATGCATTACAGCCAATATGTTGCCAGTGGCGTCACTTATGGGCCAAAACTTGTCATATACTGCTGGTCAGGATGCTCAAAACTTTGAAGTTTTACATTTGGAGTTTCTCTTGCGTGTAAAAACCATAAGGATATTTGCAACAGTGGCGTAGCTAACAGAGGGCTAGGCGGGGCAGTGTCCCGGGGCCCCCAAGCTAAAGGGGCCCCTCGGCCTCCAAGAACGACGTTCGAAAAATTATGTTCTATCCTAGTTGTATAAGAATTTTCGAGTTTTAACTTTTTGGCCCCTTACCGCGAACGGCTCGAACTGAAATCACAAAAATTACTCCCAATTCTTCTTCAGAACTTAATATAATTGTCTACTTCGTTTTATTGTCATTTTTATATAGAAGAGGGTGCCAAACGAGCATGCGGCTCACCTGATTGTAAGTGTCGACCACCGCCTATTAACAAATACAACACCAGGGGAATAGTTTTGCTTTCCTCTGAACACTCCCCGTGGTAAATGCGATAGAAAATGCAAAGGGATCCAACATCTCTTCGTCCCGTCTTTCGTCTTTGCCGGTCGACGATTCCAGCTACTGCGCTGGGTCCGGTCAAGTGAAAGGAGCTGGTACTAGGGAGCCCCGGGAAAGGGATGAGAACAGTAATCCATGTTAGGCCGAACCTGCCCCTTGTAAAGTTGCAAGCAGTGTGCCGGCATAAAATACTGTCCCGCTCTGCTGAGCACGCCAAGCTTTTTAGAGGCCAATTCAGCCTTCCATTCCAAGTGACCACGAAACTGCACGTTATTCGATATGTCAACGCCGTAGATTCCGATACTGGCTGAGGTAACAAGGGAGTGCCCTGAAATTAGGAGTTACGATAAAGGGGTTATTTTTAGTGGTAAACGCGCAAACCTGTGTCTTCTAGGCATTGAACTTAATTATATTTTGTCGCCCCAATCCGAGACCTTATCTGGCAAAGACTCGACTTCAGACACAAGTTTGTTCTTGTACTCAGAGACGTTTTACCGTGAAATAAAGGCACAGCCGGTGTATAAAGTATCACCAGTGCACGTTACTGGTTTGCTACATATTATTGATAAGCAGAAGAGCGTAGGTGATAGCTCATAGCCTTGTAGAACACCATCATAAATTCTACTACGACTTTGTTGCTCCAATCTGCAAGAAAACTACTGATCCAGTTACAAAATTCTCTGGAAGCCCATAGGGAGCTTCGAAAAAAGCGCTTTGTGCCAAACCCCATTGAAAGGCCTTCGCTATGTCCAATCTAAGGGCCAGGTTCTCCCTCTTTGACTTTGCCGATTTATGAGTCAGGTATGCCAGAAGATCACCAGCTGAGCCGACGGAAATCGTACTGGCGGTCACTTTTCAGTAGGTGATCCTCAACCTCATGAACTGCTAGTTCACAACGGTTTTCATTTTTTTTGAGAATAAATTGGATAGGTCTGAGCGGTCGATTTTCGGTTATTTTTTAGAGATCTGATGCACTAAAACTGTCTTCTTTGAGTTCGGGACTACGCCTAGGGAGAAAGAGGTTTAGAAAAGACACGTTACGACCGGTGCCAACTAGGGAGCACACGTCTTCAGCACATTGAGAGGAACTCCACCAGGTCCACTCGACTTGACGTCTAGGGAGAGTAGTGCTTCGCAACGAGTGCTGTGTAAACTGTATCGCATCGACCTAAAGGCGAAATCATACTTATTTTTAACAGCGCTGGTGAAGCACTCCTATTATAGCGCGATGCAATTTTACAGGAGCGACCAAACCAGGCACCACTGATGATAAAATAAAGAGTTCCACTCCCTGAAGTACCACATCAGTGATAGAATCACGGTGGGATCATCCGTAGAGAAGCATACCCGCCCCTGTCCTCAAGGGAAGGATGCAAAAAAAGACCGCATCCTATCCCAATCGGCCGACCTATAGTGCCAAACATGGCGGCGATCTGCAGAACGCAACTGCGATGGGAGTGTGAGTGGCACCATAGTCCGGATCAGACAATGGCCCAATGAGCCAAGAGGGGCGTCGACGGTGACCTAATATTCCTCCAGATGAGAGGTCAGCAGAAGATCCAACAGGGAAGGTGCAAGATCCACCACATCTAGAATCCGCGTAGGCGAAGTAACCATTTGTATCGGATCATATGCCAAGGCAAACTCTGATCGGTTAAACGAGAACCAAGCCATTCAGTGTGGTGGCCGTTCAAATCACCAAGGATCACGATCTCTGCAGATGGGACCTGTTGTAGCACGGAGTCTGCAGTGACTTGGACGTGGTCGATGAGTTGGTCTGTGTTGACATTATCTATAGAGGCACCCGTAGACGCGGGGATGGTCGTCGCAGACCTTCAAGATTACCGAGATGTCGAGAACAAATGTCCTCTCTGACGTATATACAAACTCCAGCAGATAGGAGAGAAGTATCGACCGGAGAGGACACCTGCGTCTCGGTTAGAAAGAGCAATGTCGGCTTCGCCGTCTTCAGATGGTGCCTAGTGGACTTTGTTGACGCTCGAATGAAATCCCCTGATGTTGCAGAAATTCACGAATAGCGTGGCAGGGGTCACCTTTATCTTATTGCTCTACTTGCCACGAGCAGTATTAGCCTTGTGCGGATAGCCCTCTCCATAGGTCGCTGAGCGACCTTGAGCTTCCTCATCCGGCCACGTCTCAGATCCATAAGTTATGACTGGCAACACGCACTGGTTGTACAATCTTGTTTTCGAGTTTTGAGGTATATCTGAAGAGACCTCTCAGTCGAAGTTGGACTTACCTAGTCGGACTATTTGTCCCAGGTAAACATACTTGTAAACGACTTCGAGTTTAGTGCTCCCAACAACTACCGGCGTATGTGTGACATGGACATTACACATGATCTTTGTTTTGTCCATGTTCATCTTAAGATCTATCCGTTGGGAGGCACTATTGAGGTCATTGAGCATAGTGCTTAGGTCCACCAGCGATACCGTCATAAAGACTATATCGTCGACAAATCGAAGGTGAGTGATGTACTTGAAAACTTCTTCCAATGCAGCGGTGAAGAGTTTCGGGGATATTACGTCATCCTGCCTTACACCTATGTAGTTGGATAGGTTTCGTACTCTGGTTCTGTACTCGGATAGCCATAGTAGTCCTACTGTACAAACAATTCCGGACTTCGATATACCGACAGTCAACTTGGCACCGCTGATTTCGTTGAAACAACAGTTTTTTACGTAAAAAGGTTGTCTGGAAGAAATCGACCTTCTTCTACCTTCTACCTTCTATATCATTTATTTTATTTTCTTTTCGTTTTAATGTGTATTGGTGTAAAACAAAGAGTATATTGATTGATTGATTGAAAATCTGATTTTGAGGGTACCTATTCTAAGAAAGAAATTAATATGAATGGGATTTTAGAGGTGTGATAAGAAAAGAAAACGATTTTATTATAAAAAGATTTTTATATTGAAAATTGCAAATTAAATATATGGGTCTTCTCTTCTCCACACCCAAACGCATATAAAACAGTGGAGTCTTTCTTGTCACAATTTTTATAAAAAAAATAAACCTAAATATCATATTTACATTAAAAGTGTGCCTTGTAGCCAAAAGTTATGGTTATTCTTAAGTGTTTCACTATTCAAACATAAGCAGACAAATGTTAATGATATTTTACCGCTATTTTTCTAATGTCAATGTATAAAAACTAGATGCAATAATATTTACATAATAATACACAAACAACTTTATATTAGATTTGTCTCGTTGTGTTGTATATGTATATAATACAAATCTTTTTATTGTACACATTATTTCACAAAATCTTATATAAATTCTCTCAGTTCAAATATTTGACTAAACCTTTAACAAAAATATAACTAACATATTAAATTATAACTGATGGAAGTCTTTGTTGACCTTTCTTGCATGTGAGATTTTTACGGTATTAAAAATAGTGTAGAATTCCCGTTTTCCAATTATATCTAGAATGAGCAAATGCAAAATGGTACATTCTTTTTTATTATATATTCTCACAGCATTATATTTAAAAAATTATACAAATAACGATTAAACATATTTGAATTGCACAATATAGTTATAATATGGAATACTAAATCACTATAATGAATATTAACTTATACAAAACTTATAATGAAGACATCGCATCACAAATATATTAATATTATTATGTACATTGCGCATTAAGGGCTATAATTTAGATAAATATAAATCACTATGTGACTGACCTCTTCTTCCATTCATCCCTGGCATTCTACTCAAGATATAAACCCGTGTTACATAATTTTTTTCAGTAATATTAATTTGTATCAGATGTTTAACACATTTCAGTGGGCAATTACTTACGAAATTTGAGACAGTCTTTGTTTATTGTAATTTATCACAATTTGTGAAGATAAAGCGCAATCTACAACTGGTAGTTGCCTCACTGAGATTTTTGAACCCGAAAATTTATAGCACAGTAAGCTCTTATAGGTTAGCTACACAGTATATATTTTTCTTCTATTCTAGGCGGTTTTGACAGAGTGAAGTATTGAAGCATCATAGAAGCGTCTCGCTTCTATGATGAACTCACAGAAGTTCACCTATATTAAGAAAATAACGCGCTGTTCACATTAACAGTACTAAATATTGCATTATTTTCTTTGTCTGTTTACTATAGGTGAACCCCGCTCTTGTGTGTATGCATTGCGAGACGCTTTTATGAAACTTCTGTACTCTATTTCACTCTGGTTAAAATGTAAGGTTCAAGAAAGTTCTAGCTTAGCAAACAACATATTCCATACAAGTCAAACTCTTTAACTCTCTAACTCTTTTGGTGTCTTTATTTTATCTTTTCAAATGCATTTATTTATTTCTGTAACTTATGATAAAGAAGAATTTATTAATGTGAGTAGTTACGGCTATTATATCCTTGAGTTTTGAATTAGGTCAATGTGTGCACTGTAGAAAACTAAATTGACAGTATTTTGATTGAGCGTCAGAAACATTAACTACCTGTTCAATAGTCTTTACAAATAAATTTAAATCTAAACGAACTCATTAACTACGCCTTACTATGTTATGGATGAAATGGAACATAACACTATACCATAATGCTTTCTAATAGTGGGATAATAAAATAGGCGTTAGCTAGTATAATGTGAAATAGTAATTACATATAAAAACATTGCAGAAAACTAGAAGTTTAAATACATAAGGAATTTTAAATATTACTTATTACAGAAATAACTACGTATTAATGATTTAAATGTGAAAAAGCTATCTTGTGTGCAAGTAGATATTGAAGTAGTGAGTATTTTTTGCTACTTATCAAAAATCAAACAAACTATCATGTAATTTATTAACCCTTTCCCTTTCCCGTGACCCACATATGGGTCATTGCTATTGTATCACTATTGTGTCTGCAAATCGAACAGTGAAAGTGTTATGTTAGATATAAAGGATTTATACTTGTTATGAATAATTTATTAACGCAAAGGGAACACGCATATAAGGTTGATCACCCTAATTTTTTCAGCCTCTTACGCTCTAGCAGTTTTTGTCTACAATATAACTTAGTACAATTTTCACCATCAATTTTATTCTTAATATTTAAATAAGATTTCACTCTGTATGCATGTTTTTTTAAAAATTAGAACCAACAGTTTGCGCAGTAGCAAAATAACACATTATATTATAATATTATCACACATTCAGCATGAAAATATAAAATATTTTTCGCGGCTTACTTTATTTGTCACAGCGTTTCTTAAATGATATTAATCAATAGTCCAACATTAAGTAATTTACGTAAAAAAAATCAATGCAAGAATTCGTCGTCGTCACCAACCTGAAATATCAAGTAAATAATTAATGGTTTTATTTAGGAATTATGAAAATTATAATATTCACGCCAAAGGAAAGCGTATATTTACGGTAGGTAAGTGTGTGTGCTTGCGTACGTGTGTGTGACTACATAATATAAGAATAATGCCACCTGAGCGTGGTGCACCTTGCTTACTGACAACTGCTGATTATGATGAATCGAAATCGTTCAATTGACTGCCACGTTGGTCAAGTGGTCGTAAGCGTGAATACTGATAATGAAGTCCCAAATTCGAATCTTAGGTAGGACCAAAATCAGACATTAGTTCTTCTGTGAAGAAATTCTCAGTAGCGGCCCGGAGTCAGGAAGTTGGCGGTGTTTCACGGCATGAAAAAAATCGGATTGCCTTGCCATCGGAATTTGAGAGTGTGGGAATAGAGAGTGCACCTATGTTTGCGCACACACTAGCTATAACCTTGCCCTGCGTAGATGGCTAGTCTCCGTTGAGTGTGGTCGCCGTGACCGATATTCGGCATGAAGATTATTATTATTATTTAGTGTATATATAGTATTCTCATCTGGTTGAGCTGAATTAATAAAAGAAAATTGTCTAAATTACTTTTTAAAGATCCCTTAAGAGAAGTATCATTCTCCTAGCATTATAAGTAGAACAAATTACAACGATGTCATATTGCTATTTTATTGTTTCAGGCGCTTAGATAAGAAAAATGAATATTTATCATTTTCTTTATCTGTATTATGTATATTTAACATTAAATATAGTAAAAGAAATAAATAAATAAAACCCAACCAGATGAAAGCCGGAGACCAAACGGCCGAGGGTTAGAGGGAAAGGAAAGAGCCCGGAGCGGTCCGGCGGTCCGGCAGTCCGGCCCGGAGAGTCCCAATTACCTCAGAGGACCAAAAGGAAATAATTGTGGAAATATCGTTTTAAATTTGGACGAGTTATATTGTTTAATTAGGTATGATAATTAATAAATTCATCGAAGTTGAAAGGTAGCTTTCAAATAAATTTGTACGAAACGCGCGCCACCTAGCGTAAGATAATTGTACTATGCCTATATCCTTCGCGCAAATGTAAACAATATGTTGACAAAGTTTTACCGCGATATGATGAACGGTATGGCAGTAAATTCTTAAATTACTTATATGCAAATATGAAACGATTAAAACAAGATTTTCGTTTTTGAATTCATTTAAATCAATATATTCATCACCCAAGGTCCTGCTGCATCCAGGATTAGGATCTTGGGCAACCACTCCGCCGTCGCAAAACGCGGTAACAATGGGAAATAAAAGTGGCCTGTGTACAGCATTGGATATTTGATAGGCTCTATTGATGATGGTGATGATCGGTCGGGCAAAAAGTTTCTTCGTATTTTAAATACAAATTCAAGACATTTGTTTTTTTTTTCAAAATTTAACTACATTTAATTATAATATTATATAATATGTGCTATTTTGTTCCATGACTTGTTGCCATCTTGTAGGTAATGACATAATCCCCTTGCTGTAGAAATCTCGGGATAATTGATCAAAAAAATGCGACAAGTAGTTTTGACAGTCCTCTCTTGATGTTAACCTAATAATACCCAAAGAATTTTGAAGAGACCGAAACAGGTGAAAATCTAAGGGTCCAAGGACTCTATGGTGGATGCATTAACACTTCCCAACCAAGCTCTCTCAATTTTTGCTGAGTGGTCAAAGATGTATATGGTCTGGCGTTATCATGATGAAAGACCACTTCTTTTCTGTTGATTAATTCCGGACATTTTTTCTCAATTTCTTGCTTGAGTCTCATTAGTTGTTGGCAGTAAAGATCCGAATCGATGATTTTGTCCGGCGTAAAAGCACATAATCAACGATGCCCTTCTAATCCCACAATACACACAGCATCACCTTATTGCGTGTTAATCCGGGTTTTGATAGAGTCTGTGGAGCTTGACTACCCTTTGAACATAATCTTTTTCGCACGTTCTTGTCGTAGGTGATCCACTTTTCATCACCAGTGTTCAAACTTTGCAAAAATATTTCGGTTTTATTACGTTTCAATAGAGAATCGTAAATGAGTACACGATTCATTAGGTTTCTTTCAAGAAGCTCGTGTGGTAACTAAATATCGAGCTTTTTTATAGCCGACTTTTTTAAATGGGTGTAAACCATTGAGTTATATGTACTACGTACTAGAGAAGCCATTCCAAACAAAAATTCTGTTCTACTACGCAAAGACTTTAATTTGTTATAAAATAAGAAATTAATATAAAATAAATATAAGAATTTAATTTAAAATATCTTAATTTAATCTAAACAAACATATTTCTAAATAAAATGTAATAATAATTATTTTATGGAATTCACAAATCTTCAATTTACGCAATATTTAGTTTGTACGGATTGTAGCACAGTTCAGTTGAACATAGTCAATGCTCGGAATGGCTTCTCTAGTACATAGTACATATAACTCAATGATGTAAATTGTTTTGTAGTTAAACCTGAATTTCTCGACTATGTTGTAAATACTAATATATAATAATAATATCTTGCTCCACTTTTTCAAAAATGCATCGACTTTATCCGTATGAGGGCGACCAGAGCGAGATGCATCTCTGATATCAAAATTCCCGGACTGTAAACGCTTGAACCAACTTTGTGCTACTCTCACTGACACTGCATTGTGTTCATAAACGTCACAATTTTTTTTCGCGGCTTATGTCGCATTTTCCCTTATCTACCGACTTCAAAAAGGAGACGGTACACAATTCGACTGTATGTTTTTATTTCGTTTTTTATGTGTGTTACCTCATAACTTTTTTCTGGGTGAACCGATTTCGATGATTCCTTTTTTATTTGAAAGTTGGTGCTTCTCATGTGGTCCCATATAAATTTTATCGAGTTCTGACCAATAGTTTTTGAGTTATTCTTAATAATTTATATTGAAGTTGGTTGTACAAAATTTTCAATTTTAAATTATTTGTAATAAAACTTCAGAACTTCGAATTTCTTCGTTAGATTCACTCATTTTGGCGGACAGAAAAACAATTGAAAAATGGCAGGAAAGTGTTTTTTACTTTTTTTTTCTTAATGTCCTATACGTATTACGTATTGATATTAAAACCAGCCAAATACAAACAGTACAACCAAAGAACTTTTTCTTCAATTTTATACAAACAAAATACGAAGAAACTTTTTGCTCGACCTATTGTTTTTAAAAATGACTTTTGAGATGTTCTTTGAAATAGGTATATATACCTGCAGAAAATATTCAAAATCACTTCGATGGCAGTTACCCTCGGCCGAAAATGTGAACTTATGGAAAGTTCCGTCTTCGCATATAACTGAAAAATAAAATATTTATGTATTATATAATTAAATCAATAATTAATTGAAAACATCTATATCTATACACACATATAAATAAAACTGAAGTGTTTATATGTAATTCTGTAATATCGAAATAACAGCCTTATATTGAACTGTGTGCGTGCGACTCACCGACGGCGGTGCGGTCGTCGCTGAAGGCGCAGAGCGCGCGGTGCGGCGGCGCGGCGGCCGAGCACACGCGCCGGCACGCGCCGCGCGCCGCCCACACGTGCAGCGTGCCCTTGTCCGACACGCAGCACACCAGCGACGCGCCCGGGTTGAAGCTTATGCTAAAAGTACATAACTCAAATCACGTTTACGCCGAGAAATTGGCCACTCTAGTAGTAGTTGTAGCCTCTTATGCGGTACATGGCGCGATGAGTTTCACTTCTAGTTCACACACACAATTTTTAGTGTAATGTGAAATAGGTTTTTATCAAATTTTACCTTTTATTGGACTCAAATAAATAAAAATCTAGAATTTATTAAGTACTTGTGTACAGTCAAGAACCTAAATTTTTTAGAGCTCATAAAGTACGTTTAACTGGTGAACCAGTTCTATGCCGATTAATAACGGTGTATTTCTTAAACATTATTTCCTTCATTTTCTAATGTATTACAAATTGTCTACAGCGCCACTTGCGTGATCCTTGCATAACTATGAAACATCGTCTTGACAAAACGAATGTATAGTATATTATATGAACTTAATCCGTGTGTGGTAGAATATGCATCGAATCAAAAAATATTTTTAAAAAAAACTCAGCCAGTAAAAAGAGGCAACTATGGCAATCTGCAGAAAAAGCCAATTGTTCAACATTGGACTGGTGAGGCTGTAATGATGTTGATGAACAGATGCACCAGTTATTATAAATATAATTAATTATAAAGATTTTCTTCCTTTTCATCACTTGTATATGAGTTTCTTTCGTTGAAGGATTTGCCTTAAATGTCACGCGCCACGCTTGGCAACGCGTTGCCAGAGGCATCTTTGACCCTGCTGCCCGTCGCAGGTCTAGTTAATTTAGATAAACGAGATGGTTAATCTATGTATGGTAAGTCTATCGGAAACCTTAAGCATAGTAACCATATTTCTGGTACCATTTCCCAAAGCCGCATAGTCACATTAACAATAACTGATAATTTTATTAAAAGTGTTTTTATGATTTTTATTAAAAGTTTTTTTTTAATTGTCAAGACGCATATACAAATTTTACTCCAAATCCTAATCTCCCTTTGCATGGGGTGCATCATTCAGGCTTTCGAGATTCAAACGACTGAATGACGAAAATTCATCTAAATTCTAAGGATGTTATTTACAATGGTAATGCACCCCGCATTACCATTGTAAATATATCGGCCTTGCAACCCATATATAGCATGAACTGCTCTTCTAGACCAGCTAGTATATTCTTGTCTATGTCTAGCAGTGCACTTAATAAGGCAGATGATGAATTGATACTTAACAACTGAAATTCCTTTGATATGAATTTGCGCATTAGCCAGTTATATTCTAAGAGCCAGCGCCTAAAACGCCTGTTTGAATTTACTAAGACTAGTTTTTTTATAGTCCATTACAATGGCTGTGTACACAAACATACTGCGGTCAGTCAAGTGAAACTGAGAACAGGTGACTCAGGTGTTCTATCAAAGGTGTCGTACCTGCCGACATAATAAATCAAGTTAACTTACTATACTCTACCAAATCTAAGAAATACCTTTTGACAGTTTTCAGACTTATTGGACAAGGCATGCCTACTAAAAAATCGGTACGTACAATATTCGATTCTTAAGAAAAATCGATAGCGATTCTTTAGAGTAGGAAATCATTTACAGTTTTGTTTCGATTATTACCAGAATAAATTTAAAACACAAAATTTATGACATTCTTCGTATTTATTGTTATTGCTTATTTCTAGAGGCAAAGTTATAAAAATTAAGATTGAAACTAGATTAAAAATAAATTTATTCAATCTCTTTCACTACAACTATACTAGAATTATTTTGTGCGTGCAGTTTGGGTCATAAATCATTTGAGTATTTCGCTCTCTCTCCCACTCACGGGCCTAAGGGGCGAGCATAGTGATGCGCATTATTGTTGTCGATAAGCGTTATTGATAGTGTATTTAGTTTTGTCATTTTGTGGGTTAGTGATAAAAATGAAAAAAAAATAGATAAAACAACGTATTAATAAAATAGGAATAATAATGATTTAAAATAAATTATTAATTAGGTATCTATGTATTAAAAAAAAAACTATAAGTACAAATGTTTGGAATGTAACAAGTTATATTAAAAATAAATATAATTATAAATATAATAACTTATATGTAAAATTAAATTTGTTGTTATCGATAATGGCGTTGTGTCCGCGCAACATGCTCACCGCCCTAGCCAGGCTGAGGCCGAGTTATGATTTATGACCCCAACTGCACGCAAAAAATAACTTTACTATAGTTAAGCTGTCGTTGTTTAGATTAATTATTATTTTCAATAATGTAGTCAAAATGAATGCCTCTTGCAAAGTCATCCATAATAATTTTCTTTGTTTTCTCCGCCAAATCATCCTCTATGTAGTTGATCGAACTCGTTTTACCCACAATCTGTTGGTTTAGCCTGCTTAGGGGTTGATAGGGGTGGTTTCTGCCCCTAAAAAGTGAATTTCCGCAGTGCTACAAGAAAGCAGACATAATTACGAGTTTGGGTTAGATTTACTGCCTCACGCATAGTTTTGATCGTTTCCGCCAACTGTGCGGCGGATCCCGCGTAGCAAATTAAGAGGCGCCCACCTTTTCTCACGGGCACCTTCGAGCAAGATGCTGCAGTGTCATCTGTTCATATCTGTGATACAGTGTGGTTGGCGTTTAACCACTTTTCATCAACGAATATGACGTTGTCCTAATTGGTTATATTTTTCATTTCTCTTTAAATGTTATTCTTTGCAAGATTATGTCATGCCTCTCCATAATTATTTTGCGTTTATCAATTTGTATCGGATACCCATGCGTTTTAAAAAAGTTCTCAGTGACTCAGTGACTGATGGTAGTATAACCATTGTACAAGCCGGCATCTACTAAATTTTCTGACAACTTCGCTGTAATAGGATATTCGCCCCTTGTGAAAAAGTCGTCGACATGGTTTCTAACAGCATCTGCATTGAATTGATAGATACCTGTTTACTGGTTTATTAATTTTTCGTTTTTTTTGCGTGTGAAGTAAATTACTCTCACTGCTTGAAGGCCCGTACTCTTTAGTGACAATCTTAGTAATGGTGCTTTTGCCAATTCCGAGTAATTCACCGACACAATCACGAACACTTGTGTCACTGGCAAAAGTGGCTCACCGTTTTGTGACTCACGTACGAAATATTCGTGTAATTTCACCACAAATGCACGAGTCTGACTGTTGAAAATGCGACTACCACAATTACGTCCTCTTTTCGACATTATGATCACTTGCTTAGTCAGCGTCCAGTATAAAAGTTGTCAAGATCAACGAATATAAAACAATCAGTCCAAAAAGTTATAGCCTAGTCACAAGAAGACAAACACAAAATAACAAAAGTACGCACAGTAAGCTCCCAAAATGGCGGGAGATTGGAATTACGTAGTGTTTTTTTCACCGCGGCATTGGATCTGAGTTCTTTGCCAGCAAATTTAGGCTGACAAAGTAGGAAATTATAAAAATACAAATTTAAATAAACGAATAATAAATTAAATCTAATTAAAATATTCTGTTGTTCGAATATTTATACCGATTATTTCAATATTTTTGCCGATTATTCGCATAACAATGAATTTTAATCATCCAAACACTACGGTAAGGTACATAGCGACATATCGTTGAAACAACGTCAGGCTAAAATGTTGGCTCTAGTATTTTTTTTTATATTTTGCTTCTTTTGAATGATTCAAACTTAAATAAGTGATAAAGAACTATACATGTTGTAATGAAATATATATTACTTCATTATTATTGGGATTTATGTAAAAGACTATTTTAAGTCGTGTGAGTACGCTTGTACAAAGTTATTGCGGAATGATTAATGTGAAACGTCGAAAAGTATTTATTAGATTTGGTTGAATATAACACCTGAAAATTGTTATACAACTTGTAATAAATAAAAGTTGTGATGGTCAGTCTTAGGTGCTCTGAGCCACCTGTTTTCAGTTTCGCTTGACTGCCGCAGTAGTTTGTGTACACAACCATTATAGTAAACTATAAAAATAAAAAAAAACTAGCCTCGGTAAATTCAAACAGTTTTTTAGGTGCTGGCTCACCGTCTATTATTATGTTTATGTAAGTAGAATACGTGTAAAGCTTTATATTGTACAATAAACTAAAAATATATCCAATTAACCGATTCGTTGCGGCACCGGTTTTCGACAACTTTTAGCTGTGGCGGCGAACAAATATTTCATGCCACAGAAGTTGATGACACGCCTATTGTGCCATCAGCCATAGGTAAAAATAATTTTCTTTTTTATGCTTTTTTCACTTGTTTAGACCTAATTATGTTTAGTTGACATCAAACATCAGTTACAAACGGAAGGATACTTGTTTTCAGTGGGTAACTAGGGTTTTCTTTGAAATCGAGAGTGACTTTTTTTATGCAGAGATTACAAACATTTTGTACTATTTTTTGTTTTATAAAAAAATCATTTATATAAGTAGGTACAACTAAATCACCCTGGAAAACCTTGGTTTTTATTAAATTACATTTTCAACTAATAATAATATTTGTAAATATTAAACAATCAAGAACCTTCATTTGGAAAAAAATAAGGTTTCTGATTCATTGATATTTATAAATGTTAAATATTATACAACCATTTTAAGCAAAATTATACAATAAGACAAACGCATTGTTTTTTTTATAACAGAAGACTTGTTTTCCAGAAATTTATTTACAACTTGAGTTTGTGAGCGATCGCAATGAGTGCTATTATTTGTTACTTATTAGACTATTTTTCCACAACGTGATTTAGTCCCTAAGTAGGGAATCAAAAACAAATTAACATACCAGTAAACGTCTGCATAATCTGAACCACGTCTTAGTTCGTGCAGCATTTGTTTGGAGTTTGTGTCCCATAGGCGGATGATAGTTCCCCTTTCCGACGCTGTGGCTAGTTTCACGCCATTAGACGATAGGCTGAGGCACACCAACTCGCTCTGATGGCAACTGACTACCGCAGGTGAGCTCGACTGAGCGCCTTTTACCGCCCGGGAAACGTCCTGCAAAATTACAGAATATTTTTTTAATTCGATATAGATCACATAATATGTAATTCTTATTGAATGTCATTTTTTATTTTACCACTGGTTCGAAAAAGCACCTCTGTCCTGGGAAGAAACCGATATTGTTTTTTTTTTTACATAGTAAATCATTTTGTTAAGGAAAGTTGGCAGTGTTCCAAGCCCGTGCCTCGGAAAGCATGTAAAGCCGTTGGTCCTTACCTGATCTCGCTCCGGTCGTGTCGGATTGCCGTTCAATCGGATATTAAGAGTGAGGTAATAGAAATTGCATCTGTGTTTGCGCACACATTCGTACACTATAACACCAATTAAATTGTTAATTGGAATTTTAAGAGCTAATTATATCACTTGTTGGGTGGTACAGGTAAACATACGAACTTGCATGTCCGCTGTATAAAAATATGAAGAAATGTAAAGTCCATCAACACGCATTGGCACATCCCTACTAAATGCACCATAACCATTTTAGAAATGAGAAAAAGGTCTGTGCCCAGCACTGGGATGTATATAGGCTGTAATTATTGTGGCTGTAATGATAAAGACTGATACTCACGAGTAGCTGCAATGAGCCTTTGCGGTGCGCCGGCGCAGCGAGAATTTGTACAGCGTTAGGGTCGGTTGCTAGCGCGCAGAGTGGTCTCGATGACGCCGGAGTCCGTAGTAAAGCTACACGTTGCAATGAAGGCAGGGACAGTACTTGGATGCTCGACAGCAAAACTACCGCTACTCTATAAATCAAATTATAATCATATAAACATCTTTTGTTAAGGCCACTGCTGGCAGGGACGGATTAGCCTGAAGGCAAAGTAGGCAACTACCAATACCCACAAAGGGCTCAGGAGTCTGAGAACAAAGAAACATTTTTACCTGATAGGGGAAATAAAAAGAAATTTACCTCAATCTCGTGATCGCAACACGACTGAAGAAACACCGCTTACACACGCACAGTTTTAACTGATCAGTTCCGTCATTTCAGTTAAAAAATATGTATCAACAATATATCATCAGTTTTAACTGATAATAAAAAAACAGTTTGACAGTTTTCATCGTACACACATTCAGTTTTCACTGTCAGTTAAAACTGGTTAGTCAAAACTGACAGTTAAAAACTGTCAGTTAAAACTGGTTAGTCAAAACTGACAGTTAAAAGTGATCGTGTGTAGCCCCCATTATATAGGAAATTGAAAAAAGACACGTCAGTCGTGTTACTACTTGATTCTTAAATGAGAGGCGGAACAAGCGTGTCAGCACAGGAGACAACTCTGGTGTCAAGCCTTTAGAACTATAGCTGATACACATCTGGTCCACTAGCTTTATCACGTCTAGACACCGCAAGGTTTTAAAAACCTCCTTATTTGTTATACTAACCTCCACCATAGAGGTCCCGCAGTAAGGTAATTTAGGTGGAACGTTCTTGCCACTATCCAGACGTGAATTGTAGGCAAAGAGAGACGCGAACAAGTCCGCTTTCTCTTTCATGATGCCTCTAGTTGGGACTGAGGTGAAGTTATTTGTTACATAGTGTCACCATAAGTGAAAAGTAGCGTTTCAAATAAAACTTCGTTTTCTAGTACTTATGTGTTCTAGTGGTGTATACACAGAAATACCTATATGTGAATTTAAAAGGCTTATAAGAATATAACGAAATCTGTCATATCTAGAATAATAAGGATAGCCAATAACCAAACGCGCGAATTCCTATTGTATACGCGTGTGTATTTAGCATTTAATTAGCATTCCAAATACAAAGTTCCGTGGGGCGGTTAAAAACAAAGCAACTTCCTTAACTAATTTTGCGTCGTATTTAGAACACTATTGTTGCATTTTGCGACCGATTCGTTCTTGTATGGATTGTGTACCTATATTTTAAACTCGATTACGGAATCGTGGATCCTGTGTTCAGTAGCCATTAAATCAACACTTCATCTACATTATTTTAGTCCTTTACATGTCAATCATAGGCTTCCTACATAAGCTAATAATTGATTGTAGAAATTATTAAAATTCCCCTTAAAATGTATTTGATTACATCAGCGACCTGCACGAATAGAATCTATTAATGTGGCGTTCTTTAGAAATAAGATAATCATCAAAGGCCATGTATTTTATCAATTTTTCGATTTCACAATAAAATCTTTCTACTCGTCAAGATACATTTTTTTTTTAATTCAGGCATCAAGGACTTAAAAATTAAGAACATTGGCCCATAGCAATATATAACCTTAACCTAAAAATATATATAAAATATAGACATAACTTAACACTATTTAGGGAACTTTTTTCTTTGGCGCGTCCCTGTATCGGCGAAACACTACCCCAGAGGGCTAGAAATCGGGAGCGAGGAATGTCTCTTTGTGTTTTGCAGGAACCTGGAGTACGTAGGATTTGAAGTTCGTTGACCTATTAGCTCCAGACGCTGCAAATGTAAAGAGATCGGATCCTCAATGCGGCATCGGCTTCGTTCTTCCACGAAACGCAGGACCTCTTCTCCTGACGTACTTTTGTCCAAAAGGGAGATGTAGAGCTGTATAGTTGGCTCCACAGCACGCAGAGTTGTACTCGCTTTTATTTTGGCCGTCCCACGCTGGTTACAGACGGGTCTCGACCGACGTCTCTTCTCAACAAGAGTAAACTCGTCCTTATCAATTTTGTCTTGGGTCACCACTGGAACTGATTTTATTTCCACGTTCTTTCGCTTTCGACCACAAGAGGGTGCCGGTTGTAAAGATTTTCGGGCAACATCCGCAAACGTCTTCCCTTGTTTTGAGGTTGGCTTCGGCGGAGGAGTACTAATGGGTTCAGTCAAGGGTTGAGGCGGTGATGCAATGACGACCGAGGTCGCCCTAGTTTCACGATCATCAACCCACTGACAGGCGGTATCGCATGACGGAGTCGCAATCATCGGTGAAATATGACTACTATTACGGTTACCGCGTGTCGTATTAACATTCTGCGACGGCGGTGAATTCGCAGATGTTGCAATTATGTTTCGCAACATATTGACTTCGTTCCTCATCTCTGTTGCGGCTCGTTCCGATTCTTCAAATTTGGAACGGATGTCGGTAACATCGGCTTTCAACGTGGTGATGTCTTTCAACAATCTGGTCACGTCTACGTGATCGAACGTCACGTGAGGCAGCTTGTTGAGGTCACGCGAGACGAAAGTTGGGATGTCATCAGGATCGGTCTCATTGAACAGCCTGAAGATGTCTTGCAGGTCTTTCTTACCGCGTCCATCCCTGTGACGTGTGATGAGACGGATTTGGCTCACGGCTGAATCTGCTAACACCTTCTTCGCTTGGATGATCACGTCCTCGGTGAAGCTTGTCATCAGTATCTGCTCCAGAGACACCTGGTCCATGACGTCCAATTTTTGTTGAACAAAGGCCAGGAACTCGTGAACTACGACGGTTTCGGAGCGTTTAGGTTGACACGCTATTTCGAATTATTTTCGCGCAGTTGGTATGCTTACGCTACGAAAATATTGTAGGTTCGGCATTAGAGCCGTCACGTCATTACGAAGCGACTGCACTGACCGGTAGTTAAATTGCGACTGACGTTACAATAAGTTCATCGATTTCCATCTGTCCGAGCTTTTTTTTTTTATAGGATAAGGGTGACAAACGAGCACACAGTCCATCTGATGGTAAGTGGTTGCTGTGGCCCATAGACATCTACATTTATCCTCTATTACAAATCAAAATGCAGATGCGTTGTCACCCGTGAGGACTAAGATGGAAGCCTCATTTTCAGTAAAAAGGGCCTCCGGCCACCTGCACTCACCAAGCGAAACGCAGAGGTAAACCTCTACTTCACGCTGGTATTCTGTGAGGTCGTGGTACCACCCCGGTTCGAGCCGGCCCATCCGTGCGACAGCAAAAGCTGCCGCCTGGCTCTACCATTGTTAAAAAGCTAATCATATAAAGATAGATTAAGTCTTATTGGCATGCAAATTACCCCACAGCTAAAAGGCAGTTATTTCGATATAACGGACAGACACTCTAATTTTATTTATATGTATTGATGTATAAATTATGTACATTACGTAAATTCATATTCAAATGTGTAATTTAAAACAAACGTCATCAACCTGACCTTTAGTTAGATCAACTTAGTCCGAGGAATTTTCTTCTTTCTCGAAAATTTACGAGTACATTACAAATAAACATTTCTCGCTAGGTTCATTCATTCATCGTTCAACATTCCTCAGCCTGCCTTTTATTTGAGTTTTAGGACGGGGAGGAACCCGCCGCGTTGCAATTGCTATTAACAATTTAAAATTAACGTTACAAACTTTACGCTACAGGCGAATAAAGCCTTTGTCTCAATTTTGTTCTCACTTGGAATTGTATGCAACATAAAATCAATAACAAAGTAAGAAACAATAGCTTCCTTCTTCTGTAATTCTGTGCTATTCGGTTAAGGTCATTACAATCTTATCGCACAGTAGTTGTCCTTTAGCATAGTCGATACTCAGATGGTATTTAAATCATATCGAATATTAAACATATAAACTGTTTGACCTCGATATGTTATAAATTGATAATTGAGTAATTTTTGAAAAATAAACTTATCATGTTATGGATATTTTGAGATAAAAAATATATAATTGTGCCACGATACTTGGTTGTAACGTCGTGAATATTTCGAGTTTGTTATTTTTTTTAATAGGATAAGGATGACATGCGAGCACACAATCCACCTGATGGTAAGTGGTTGCTGTGGCCCATAGACATCTACATCTATCCTCGTTTACGAACACATAACATTAATGATAGAATATAGTAATAGTCTCCTCACAGTACTTTATTTTTTTACTGGTAACTTACGTAAGGTATTACTAATAAATCTTAGTGATATTTTATCGATAATAAAATGTAATTGTCTATGGGTCACTGCATTCACATACCGTTAGGTGGACTGTGGACTCGTTTGTCACCCTTGCATGCTATTTAAAAATAAAAACGTTCATAATTTGCACACAATAATTGAATAACACAGTTGATACAACAAATGCATAAGAATAGTCTTTTTTTTATTGAATGAACGTCAACTTAATGTAAAATTATACAATGCAAAAGATGAAAATGATGTTGGCAATAACTTATTGGTAATACAATTCGGGGCGAACACTGCAAGCAAATGTAATAGGCAACGATAATCACTCAGAGGTGACGGTGACGACGCATGTAGCGTTCTTTGTTTGGCTGCAGGTGTACAAATACCGCACTAGCCACTTACAATCAGGTGAAGAGTAAGTTCCTTTGTCGCAACAGTATTGAAAAAAACTTTTTTCAATATGTCGTAAAAAAGTGACACTTCTTATATAATAATATTCCTCATTTATTGACAAATAACAAAACACCCGTAAAATTAATATTTAAAATTTTTTTCACTTTACAGTGTGTATACGAGGGCTGCACTAAAAGGGAATCTAAACTAATCGGGAATGGAATATTTCCACTGTTCCTGTCATATTAAATTTTTTTTAATTGAAAAGTCCTTGGTTTTAGAAATCGAATACTATTTATTTATTTAAAAAAAGATTCTCGGTCTTGTCACAAGGTTTTGTCAAACTTGTTTAGTTGTTGAGAAAATGGAATTGACTCGAGAAAATTCAAGAGCGATGATTTATAATGACTTTCGAAGTGGTTTAATACAAAAACAGTGTGTTGACCAGATGATTTCTGCATTTGGTGATGAAGCCCCATCCAAAACCACAATTTAT